GAAATAGTGATGGGGTCTCCTTAACTATCTATGTTCCTCACTCAGTTGAATATCTCCTAAATTCATCACACTCAGCATCACGCTGTAAGCTGACTAGCCTCCTATGAAGTTCTGTTGCTCTCTGCTCCTAATATTTCCTTAGCCCGATGTTATAATCTTAATCCTGCCACTTTACTTCCAGCATCACAGGAGGAGGATGCCCATGACCGCATTTTATTAACTGATTAGCTCCTCACTCCTAGGAATGACTTGCAAGAAACTCCCATTGGTAATGCTGATCTAATTTGGTTTACAGATGGGTCTTACTTAAAGGATGGACAAGGACATTATTGGGCTGGATATGTGGTAACGTCCTCAGTGGACATAATTGAGAGTTCTTATTTACCAGAGATAAAGTCAGCACAGCAAGCTGAGTTAATTGCTTTAACTCGAGCTTGTCAATTGACCAAAGACCAGGTAGCAAATATGTATACTGCCAGCCATTATGCTTTCAGAGTAGCACATGACTTTGGAATGCTGTGTAAACTATGAGGGTTTTTAATCTCTTTGAGTCAGCCTATAAAGGATGGGAAAAAGTTTGCAGAATTATTGAATTCTACATAACTACTCAGACAACTAGCAATTATTGAAACACCAGGGCATTCCAAATCTGATACTTTGGAAGCTAAAGGAAATCGGTTTGCTGACGCAGCTGCTAAACAAGCAGCCTTGAAGGTTTGCCCCACCCAGCCTTGAGAATGCCCACTGCTTCCTAGTAACTCTGCCAACCCGGTAAAAGATTTCCTTCTACAGGCTCAAGAAATCACCACGGGAAGAGAAACAGATATGGCAGTCAAAAGGGGGGAATTTTTGACACCCCCTCGCAGATGTGGTTCAGGCCCAATGAGAAACCCACAGTACCTGTTGGAGCACAATTGCCACTGCTCCAGCATAGACACCAATTAACCCATTGGGCACCTGCAAAGATGATTTTACGGGGAAAACAATGCTTTTGGAAACTTTCTCCCATGGTGGCTCATAAAGCCTATGCTCGTTGTGCTATAGGCCCAAAGTATAATCCAGGGAAAACCACTTCCTGGGTCACAAGGTCACTTTCCCCTCCTAAGGGACCCTTTGAGGTATGGCAATTGGACTTCGTCCAAATGCCACCATCTCAAGCATATAAATACATCTTGGCAATGATTTGCATGTTTTCACATTGGATTGAGGCCTTTCCTTGCAGAAGAGCAATGGCTCTAACAGTAGGTAAATACCTATTAGAGAGAATCATTCCTGTTTGGGGAATTCCTACTGAGTTACTGAGTGACCGGGGAGCTCATTTCGCTGGAGGAATAATTAAATCTATTTGTATTACTTGCCCAATAATGCAGCATTTCCATTGTGCTTACCATCCCCAGTCCTCAGGATTGTGGAAAGAACTAATGGTACAATCAAAACTCAATTGGCAAAACTTTCAGAAGCATTTAATCTCTCATGGCCGAAGGCTCTTCCACTAGTGCTCCTCAATCTTAGATCTACACCCTTTGGTAAACATCAGCTGTCTACTTTTGAGATAATAGCTGGATGGACTATGCAATTAGACGAAGGAATGTATGAACCAACTTTACCTAAAGGAGACATTTGACATTATTGTCCAAGTCTCATTGAGGCACTTAAAAGAAATGAGAGATTGGAAGTCGATTCTTTTCACAGTGAGCTCCTGGGAGATGAAGACCTTAAGGATCATGGCTTATAGTCTGGAGATTTCATTTATTGGAAAAGACACCAGATAAAGGATTCTTTGCAGCCTCATTGGAAGGGACCATATCAGGTGCTTTTAACCCACCTGTGTGCTGCAAAATTAAAAGGTGTAAACTCATGGATTCACATTACTCATCTGAAAAAGTCTTCTCCTCCTGAATGGGCTTCAGCTCCAGTCTCTGACACCCGCCTTCGACTGACCAAGACGAGTATCTCCAAACCAGGATGAGAGGAAGACGACACCTGTTGTAGACAGCTGTCCCAAGACTCCGGACCAGGCCTGTATTCCTAACCTTATATCTCCTCATTTAAACCCTTGTAATGTTTCAACTTTATGTAATTGCTAAAATAATTGATTTCTAGATTGGCTTGCTGATTTTCCTACCCTAATACTTTACCCCCCAAGTTGATTAGATTAGAACCTAATTACAAAACTGCTATTAATTACAAAAAATGTCATTTAAGACTTTCCTAATACCGTGTTTGTTTTTCCAATCCACATCCGAATGGGCCTCTGATGGCAATGTTTTTACTAATAATGATCCTGAAACATGGCCGATAGCCCACACTATTAATAATACAGGGCACGGCGACTCTTTTTCTGTTACTCAAACCATCCAATTATCCCAACAAATTGCAAGTGAACAAAAGAAACCAGATATCACAGTAAGAACCATGGAAGCTTTTACGCAAATTTGGGATGGATATGTTTGGCTTACTCCTCACTGTGGATCTTTAAACATACCTGCACCTTTATGTTGGGAGCAAAGAAATCATTCCAAACAAAATCTACCAGATTACACTCGAAAGGTGGACTGGATACCCCCTGAGTCATGTCAGAGCACTTTTATACTTAAAGAAAGTGATTGGTTTGGAACAGACTGGTCTCAGAGACCAGGCATTTATTGGACGTCTCCTAATGGAACTCAGTGGTTATGTGGAACAAACCTCTGGCCTTGGCTACCACCTGGATGGCTAGAGTACCACACTCTGGTCTTCCCTTGGATGCAGGGCAAGATTCACCAAGAGCTAACATCTGTTGCCAATCTCCCTCTCCTTAAGGCCAGATGGGCTCCTTCAGTGTTCCGCTGGTATGACCACCTAGCGGCTATATTTGCTCCTTCCTTGGGGTTTAGAAGTTGTCATATCGCATATAGAAGCTCTGACTAAATTTACTCAACAAGCTCTTAATGATAGTCAAGCAGGAATAGCTTTATTAAACACTGAAATGTCTTTAATGTGAAAGGCTGTTCGTAAAAACAGAATGGCCTTAGATATTCTGACAGCATCCCAAGGTGGCATGTGTACAATCACTTAGACTGAATGCTGTGTTTTTGTACCTGATGAGTCTTCCAATGCGTCATCTCTGCTAAAACACAGGAAGAAGACGGTGGATACCTTAAGTGATCTGACACCCAGTCTTGTTTTTTTGGTTGGCTCCCTTCTGGTATCGGTTCTGTTTTCCGGTCTGGATTGCAGTTTCTATTTCTATCACTTCTTGAAATCCTTGTGCTAGTCATAATCTTCAAAATAATTGCTATTTTCTTTACTCAGTGTTGTAAGAATAGCATACAAACTAGAGTAATGATTACTCGATGGCTTGAGATGGTCGATCTATCTTACAAACCTGGACAAATTTCCTTTTCTGATAAGGACTATGCCTAAGAACTCATTTAAGACTAATCCTTTCAAATATATTGAATTATGGTTACTGTACTTGTTCTATGATCATTTACAATGTAAATACAAAGTGTCATAGAAAAACACATATACGATGTTTGTGCAACAATCCAAAGTTAATAGAAAATTATATAATCTATGAAATGCTTCCTCTGTTAATACATATACCTCTATGCTTGTCCACTATTTCCCCCCAACATGGACAACTGAGCAAATAAATGAGATAAAAGTCTAGCACCAAGGGACCTGCAAGCAGCAATCACCCTGGTGTCGAGGGACAGCATTTGATGATCAATATTTTCTATCAAAAGATTATAGATCAAAAGGGGAAAATGACAAATAGAAATGGCAAGCCATAGGATATATTGGGGTATATGAGGAAGCCATTTGGTGTCAACCTAATTTGGCCTGACTTTATTTTTCCAAAAAGGCCTGACATGGCCATTGAGCATGCATTGTACATTTGCTTTAAGCATTTCCTATGGCAAGAACAAATGGCCTTAAGATAAAGGTGCAACTTCCCCCGACATTGGCATTTGCTTAAGGATAAGTATCTTTCCTTAGGCTAGAAACTGATTGCTGTGCTCACCTGTGACCACCCAGCTCAAGACAACAGATCTGCCAGCCTGCTGTGTCCACCCTGCTGTGTTTACCGAGACAGCAGACCTGCTACCTGCTGTGTCCATCACACAGGTGTGCCAACAGGGCAATCTTGTGACTATTGTAAAAGGGACATTTCAATCATATGTGAAACATGCTCTTTGAGGGTATATAACCACCCTGTACACCCCCACTTCTTCTGAGTGCTCCATTCCTTCATGGAAGGACTCTCCCAGGTTATGTGGGCCCTCACATTTCAGCTCAGAATAAACTCACCCCAATTTTGAGTTATAGATTGGTTACAAATTATTTGCATCAACAAAGTGATGAAAATGTTCTGTAACTAGATAGTGGTGATGACTGCACAATATTCACAACATTGTGAATGTACTGAATGCTCCCGAATTGTACAGTTTAAATGGTAAATTGCGTGTTATGTGTATTTTACCACAACAAAAGAAATGAAGGGGGTCTTTCCAGATGAAAGAAAAGAACACTAGACAGTACTCGAATCCACATGAAGAAATAACACCAATAAAGGTAAGTTCATAGGTAAATATAAAAGACAGCTTAAATGTATTTTTTTTGTCTGTAACTCCTTTTTTCCCCTATCTGATTTAAAAGACAACTGTGTGATGCAATAATTAGAATTCTAAGTTGATGGGCACAAAGTATAAAGACGTAATTTGTGATAATAGCTCCATAAAAGGAGGAGGAAATGGAACTATACAGGAGCAAGGTTTTGTATACTATTAAAAATTAAGTTGATATTAATCTGAGCTAGATTGTTATAAATTAAGATGTTAATAGTAATTCCCAGGGCAACCACTAAGAAAATAATTTGAAAAATATATAGTAAAAGAAACAAGAGAAATAAAATGATACGCTAGAAAATACTTATTTAACACAAAAGAAGGTCATAATGGAGGAACTGAGGAACAAAAAAAAAATAAGACATATAAAAAACAAATAGCAAAATAGCAGACTTAAACTCTGCCTTATCAGTAATTACATTAACTATAAATGGGTTAAACTTTCTAATTAAAAGGTAGAGATTGACAGAATAGATAAAAAAGATGATACAATTATATGCTGTCTACAAGAGACTCACTTTAGATTAAAAGAAAAAGATGGTAACTTATTACAACCAACCTAATCAGATAGGAAACCAGGAGTCCATATATAAATAAATGGAAAGTTTGATACACATAGTTTCAAGTTGCTCTCTCCAAAATACTTAGTAATTACAAAGGAGAAAAGAGCAACTGCTTAGTGTAGCAGTCACACTGGGGTCAATTCCTAGCCCCAGGTTTCAAGGGAAATGATAGAAGATATTATATCACATGCATATGGTAACCAAAACAAGCTGTGTGACCTCAGACTGTTGCTTGCCTTCTCTGTTTCTCAGTTTCCTCATCTGTAAAGCAGGATAATAACTGTACCTTTCTCATAGGGCTATTGTGAGAACAGTCAGTGGCCCCCCAGCCAAAAATCACGAGGAACACACCTGTGGTTGAACAAATTTGGGTTTATTACTTGTTGCAGTGAGGGAGAGCACACACCCCAGGGAACTGTAGGGCACATGCTAATTGCTGTTACTACTGAGTATCCATCATTGGAACAGGCAATTTATACCTGTTACCAGTGCACTGTATTAAACCTCACAGTAACGGTATGAAGCAGGGTAATTGTCCCTTTTCACAGCTGAGGAAACTGAGGCTCTGATAAGGCAAGGCCAGAGGTCCCAGGACTGGATAGGGGTTGGAACGGTGCCTTCTGGCACCAGAGTCGACTGTGCAGCTTCTGTCTCCACCCTAGATGACCTCTCTCCTAGATATGTCAGGCACTCCATCACTCCCCCGACTTTTCTGACAGGAAGAGGCGTCCCCATCCTGTTTCTTTGTTCTTCTTTCTGGTTTGGGGAGACAGATCTGAGGAGGGGCTGCAGAGGGCAACACATAGGGTTATAAAAACCATAGTGCAGAGAAGAGGTGGAGAGAGAGGAGCAGAGAGGAAGGAAGGATGGCAGAGATGTGTGGCCTTGGTGAGGCTGGGACCCCACTCTGGGGTGATGGTGGGGAGCGGAGGGCTCCAGGGTTCTGGGGGAGTTGGGATCTGGTCCTGAGAGCAGGGTTGTTCTGTCCTATTCAGAGGAGACATATGAGAACCAGAAATTGACTGAGAAAGAGCCTAGACAACTGTGGAGCTCAAGGGGCTCACCAGGTACTGGGGTGGGTGGCTCAGGAGCAGGCACCTGGGGAAGGGGGTGGCTGGGAGGTCCCCTCCAGTGTGGGCAGGGCAGGGCCGGGTCTGTCCCTGAGCCTCCAGCTCTGCCCATCTGCCGGTTCTGCAGGATGCCGCACCAGGCTCCCTCTGCTTCTGCTGCCGCTTCTCCTTTCTTTGGGCCTCTTCCTGCTCCTGATAACCATCCTGATTCAAGGTGACTCAGGGGTTGGGGGTTTGGGGAACCCTGGATCTCTTTGGATTTTCCCTCTGGGATGGTCTTTGCCCTTTTCCACAGTCCCCAGACTCATTAGTGCTGGGGCGTTTGGGCTCCTCATCACCTCCTGTGTGACCATGGGCTGGTTCCTATTCCTCTCTGAGCCCATTTCCTCATCTGTGAAATGCAGCTCCCCTTCCTCTACTGGGGGGCTTAGGCTCTCGGAGACCTTGAAACTGGACCTGCACAGGGTCAGGCACACAGTTGGTGTTCATAAAGGAGAATTCTCTGCTCTCTTATAGTCTCCAAGATCCATCAATCCATGCAGAGAGGAGCGTGGGACCATCAGGAGAACGAGCCCCCGGGTGAGGCACTGGATGCCGGGATCCAGAGTGGGACAGGGCTCCGAGGCTGCCTGACCTTGGACGAACCCCCGCCACGGGGGTGAGGGAGGGAGGGCAGGAGCGGGAGGAGGAGACTGGACCCCTGCGTGAGGTAACGTTGGTCAAGTTGCTCTCTAAGGGACTGTCAGTTTCCTCACCTGTCAAATGGGCTCTCAGGGTCACTGTGACATCCATGGACAATGTTCTCCTGGGGCCCTCTCTACACCAAGCACACAGTAGGTGCTTAATCCTTGAAGCCCTCTTCTTCTAGTGGCTGTTTCTCCGGAGCGGATACAGTCAGAACTGGAGGAGATCCGTGAGCAGCTGACCAGGATGAATGCCACCCTGAGTAAGGGTCTCACACCAAGGTCGGGAAGGAGCTGCGAGGTCCCTTCCCCCCGGCCCCGCCCCAGAGGGCTGGGGACCCACCTTCTATGGCTGCTGGTCTGAGGAGGGCTGGGCAGAGCCGGGATCTTTCTCACGGGTTTCTTGGGGACTGAGCTGACAGCCGAATAGGGCGCCTGGGCCCTGGGCTCCCAAGATCAGAGGCAGGCGCAGGCGATTTGGGAGCCGAGCAGCTGTCTGTCCCAACCCCACCCCTCCTCCCCAGCTGGCCTGTGCCGACCCTGCCCCTGGAATTGGGGATTCTTCCAAGGAAGCTGCTACTTCTTCTCCCAGACCCAGAACACCTGGAAAGCTTCCGTCTCCGCCTGTCAGGACATCAAGGCTCAGCTGGTGATCATCGACAGTGCTGAGGAGCAGGTGGGCTGAGCAAGGTTTCCGTCGGAGGCTGGGCCATGCGGCTGGGCAACAAAAAGCCTTTTGCCACCCTCCTCTGCCCTCTGAGAGATGGAGGTCCGGTGGGCAAGCTGGGGCCAGGGAAGATGCAGTCAGGGAAGGCTTCCCGGAGGAGGAGCAATAATGGACTTGGGCAGATCACATGAGAGGAGCCCATGGATGGACAGGAGGAGAACTCAGGGTACCCTTGAGATCATACATAGTCTCTCGCCAGCACATATGTGATCTGAGATACAAGTTGACACATTTCCACACGTGGATGCACATTAACACACATTCACAGCATACATGCATGTGTGAACACACACAACTTGAGTCGGGGCTTTAGGCTGGACTGCAGAAAGAACTTCCGAGGGAGGCAGGGGACTACGGGAATGTGGGCAGACGGGGTGGCACTCAAGATTCTTCTTCCTGATACCCCCCCGCCCCCCCGCCACCTTCAGCAATTTCTGAAGTTTTGGGATACCAGAAATAATAGGCCCGCCTGGATCGGCCTCAGCGACCACCACAACGAGGGTTCCTGGCTATGGGTGGACAACACCCCTGTCAATCTCAGGTGACCTCGCAAAGTCAATGGCCCCAGGGGGGTGGGCAGGGAAAAGACCCACATGCCAAACCAGGGGTGCTAGGACTCTGGGATTGGAAGGCACCATCTGAGGAGCTCGGTAGAGATGCAGAGTCCCGGCTCCACCCCGGGGGAAGGGCAGGGTTCTGAGTCTACTAGTCTGGGTACAGTGCAGGAATCTGCAATTTTACTCCGCCAGAGTTGATTCTCAGGGAGGTGGTGTCTGAATCCACGTTTTGGAAACCCCGCCTCTGAATTCCCCACGTCCCTTTGGTACTTGGAATTTTGCTGCCAAAGGCCAGGGGTCAGATCCTTCAAGGGCGGGCCTGGAGGGTGGGCTCTGGCTGGAGAAGGGGACTCATAGCTCCCATGGTGGTCGCAGCTTTTGGAAAGAAGGAGAACCCAACAACCACGGAGATGAGGACTGCGTGGACTTCTACAGTGATGGCTGGAATGATGACAAATGTAACAGAGAGAACTTCTTTATCTGCGAGAAGCCCTCGGTCCCCTGCCCAGAATTCTGACGACCGCTGTTCCCCGCTGCCCAGAGACCAGGCAACTGCGCATGCGCTTTGCTGGCTGCTCTCTGGCTCCGCCCCCTTTTCTTTCCTCCCCCCTTAACTGAGGACGGGAGGACCCTGAGAGAGGTTCTGAGACCCCCTTCTCCTCTAAGGCCCATCCCTCCATAGGCTGTAGACGGTTTCTCTTCTGTTGATGGTCTCAGCCTTACCTGAGCCCCCATAATATTCCCTTAATAAAGTAATTCATTGTATTGTGTGTTCCACCCCACTTACTATTTCTTTGTCACTGTTTCAGTGACTATAGTTTTGTAATATGTTTGATATAAGCTAGAACATTGTCTTCTTTCAATATGTTTTCCTCTACTACAGTGTATTTTATTTTCCAGATACAGTTTTGAACTGGTTTGTAACTTTGGTTGGGAATAGACATAGATACATATGTATGTATCCATCCATCTGTCTATCATCTATCTATGTGTTCATTCATTCATGAGCCAATTATTTATCCAGATATTTTAAAAATGTCCTTCGGTAAAGTTTTATGATTTTCTTCCTATAAATTTTTTAAAAACATTATTTCTATATATGTGTGTTAATTTCCTATCAATGCCGTACCAAGTTACCACCAACTTACCGGCTTAAACCAACACAAACTTAGTATCTCAGAGTTCTGGAAGTCGGAGGCCCGAAGGAGTCTCACTGGGCTGAAATCAAGCTGTCTTCCTCTGCTGGCAGCTCTCTTGCTCCATCTTCAAAGCCAGCAATGACTGATTTCTCTTTCGCACTTTGTGCGGCCCTGACTTCTGCCTCTCTCTTCCGCATTGAAAGGACCCTTCTGATTACATTGAGGCCCACCTGGATAATCCAATATGCTTTCGCTATTTTAAGGTCAGCAGACTAGGAAACTTATTTCCATTTGCAACCTTAACTCCCGATTTTCCACATAGCGTGACATATTCACAGGTTCTCGGCACTGGCATATGGACATCTTTAGGGGATATTATTCTGCCCACCACACGGTGTTGCATTTTTTATTGTGCTGAATGAGATGCATCTCGGTGGGTGTGGGGGGATAATACCCTAACTCTCTCTGCTCTTGAGTTAGACAACTCTGAGGCACGTTCCACACCATCCTTCAGAGGTCACCAGCAGGACTGAGCCCTGGTAGCCCACAGCAGCCATCTGTTCAATAACACCAACTCTTTCTGGTGGCTTCCTGCCTTCCCTGCGTCACTTTCCCACTTCCCTCCTGTGCTTTCTGAGGATGACACCACAAATCAACTTCTTGCATTGAAATCCTCATCTCCGGGTCTGTTTCTAGGGGAACCGGACCAAAGTCAGGCTGGGTTCAGGTGACTCATTCTGAATGGTAGGCCAGAACCAAACCTGGTGAGTGATTGGGCTGCGACTGGATCAACCATGTCACTTCCAGACTGGGACATTTAAGAGAAAGTAGTCACCTCTCTGTAGTCTCTTCTCTCCCCATGGCAACCCTGGAACCCATAGCAATAACCTGGATCCAAGATAGATTTGCCAGTCTGCAACAGTTTGACAAGAGCGTGCCTTGGCCATGACTACGTCCTGCTAAATTCTTGAGACATCAGCAATTATTGTGGCACAGCATAGCAGATTCTTCTTAACTTGCCCCCAAAGGAATTCCAGAACCACAGCTAACATTCACACACTTGGGTATAAAGGAGAGAGAACTCTTCCCAACTCACTCTCTGAAGCCAGCACAATTTACCATTAAAAATAATTCCAGTCAAATAAAAAGGAAAAAAAAAAAATGGAAAGCCGTTGAATTGTATTGAAAACAAAAATGACCCAGGAATTCAATTGACTAAATTCAGTTAATGCTGGAAAGCCTTTTCTCAATAAAAATTCCTCAGGTAATTATTACAATTATGACTGATCAGCTTGCTTTTTTAAATATGGGGTTAAGATATCCCCATCATCACTTCTAGGCAAAATGGAGCAATGGGCTGTGGATTGACCCTCCTGCTTGAAACAAGTAAAAAAACTGGACAAAATGTATGAAAAAATGATTTCCAGATACTAGAAATTAGTGCAATTGGGTGGTCCTCGAAAGAGAAGAAATAAACAGTGAATCCTATAATTACCCCAGCTTGCTGCCTGGAGAGAGTTTCCAGGTTGCAGCGCAGTGAATGGAAACCCAAGCAGAACTCAGAGCTCTCGATGGTTGAAGAGATAGAGCTGGGAACTCAGGCAGGCCAAAAAGGCTAGAATTCACAGGACGGAATTCTAAGGAGAGAGAATCACACCGACAGAGTTCTAAGGCTCTGCAGAGGGTCCCTGTTCAATCTTTGACTGAGTATTGGTTGATACATGCATGAAGAGAAATTATATGAGGCCAAGATAGAACCACTCAAAATGATTAGAAGGAAAAGTACTTCAGGCTCACACAGGACTGGGACCATCAGAAGCCCACCATTTATGCACCTGTAATAGGAGCAAGAAGTAGCTTTTGTTGTTCGAAGCCATTCGGAGGTTGTTTGTTACTGCAGTGCAACACTATCTAAACTGCCTGATACATGCATCGTTTCTGGGCGTACCAGCCCCACACATCCAACGACCAGCATCTGAGACACTTTGCATGAAGAATTTTCCTGACCATTGGAGTCCTCTCTGCTCATGTGCAAGGCAGCCAGGAATGCCAGAGAATAATGACCCCCACTTCCCCAGACCAGTCCTTCCCAATGACTGATGAGAGTTAATGGTTAAATACCCCAGCTTCCTTGCCCTTCTGGAAGGACAACTCTGAGGCAAAATCTTCAGATTCAGTTGCCCACCAAAATTACTTGTCTGTTAACACACTCCTCGTTGGCTTCCTTCCCTTCCGTTTCTCACTTCCTCACTGGCTTATTCACGCTTCCCAGTGTCACCTTTCAAATTAACTACACGTGAGTCCCCAGCTCAAGGTCACCTGATGGAGGAACCACTAAGGCACAGAATAAATAGAAACTTGGCGTTGAGTAAGATATGAGTTATGAGTTAGAGAAGCACTGGCAGGCATTGATTTATTTTACTCTGCACTTTGAAATTTAGACTTACAGAAAAATTGGGAAAATAGTACAAAACTTCCTGTATAGTCTTCATCCAACTTCCTCCCAAGTTAACGACTTACTAACCACAGTATAATTATCAAGACCAGGAAGTTCACATTGACACGCTATTATTGAGTAAACTACAGATTTTATTTGGTCCTTTTTTCTGGTCCAGGATGCCGCATAACAATTAGTTGTCCTATCTTCTTAGTCTATTTCAATCTGCGACAGCTCAATCTTTCCTTGCTATTTATGTCCTTGACATTTTTGAGGAGTACTGGTCAATTATTCGGTAGACTGTCCCTCAATTTGAGTTTATCTGGTGTTTTTTCTCATCACTGGGTTGAAGTTATCCTTTTTGGCAAAAATACCACAGAAGCAATGTTATGTCCTTCCCAGTGCCGTGTCTCAAGAGTTACATGATGTCGATATGTCTTGTTGGTCATGATAATCACAATTACTTGGTTAAGGTGGTGCCTGCCAGGTTACTCCATTGTAAAGCTAATCTTTTCCCCTTAGTAATGAATAACTATCTTGTGATGAGATACTTTGAGACTTAGAAAATATTCCGTTTCTCATCAAACTTTCATCCACTAATTTTGGCATCCACAAATGTGATCCTGCCTGTGACAATTATTATTGTGGTTTTTGTTAATGATAATTTTCTATTGTCCTCAATTATTGTACATTTATTAATCGGAATTCTTCTGCAAGGAAGAGTGTCCCTTCTCTTCTATTTATTTATATATTCACTTACTTATTTCGATCAGTTTTTACTCAAGGATGTTTATTTTATTCCATGGGTTGTATTCCAATCATTATTTAGTTTCTTGACCAAATTGTCCCAGCTTTGGCCATTCAGAATTCCTTCACGTTGACTCTCACGTCTTGCTAACATGCCCCACCAAAAATGGTCCAGCCCCATTTTTCCTGCCTCAGTCCTGGAGTCAACCATTTCTCCCACGAGCTCTGGTTCCTTTCATTAGAGAATGGTAGTTAGAAACCAAGATTTGTGGTCTAGTTACTTTCTGGTTTTGTCTTGCCATTTTAAAATGTACAATTCAGTGGCGTTAAGCACATTCACAATGTTGTGCAACCATCCCCATCACCCATCTACAAAACTTCTTCATCTTCCCAAACAGAAGCTCTGTCCCCATTAAACACTGACTCCCCATTCCCCTTTCCCAGCCCTGGCACCACCATCCTACTTTCTGCATCTGTGAATTTGCCTATTATAGGGACCTCATCTAATCACACAATATTTGTCCTTTTGTGTCTGGCTTCTTTCACTTAGCATAATGTTTTCAAGGTTCACCGACGTTTTAGCATGTATCAGAATATCCTTCCCTTTTATAGCTGAATAATATCCCATTGTATGTATAGACTACATTGCATTTATCCATTCGTCTGTTGATGGACACTTGGGTTGTTTCCACCTTCTGGTATCGTGAATCATGCCTCTGTGACATGGGTGCACAAGCATCTGTTTGAGTCCGTGCTGTCAAATCTTGTGGGTGGATACATAGGAGTAGAATTGCTGGGTTATATAGTAACCCTATGCCTAACGTTTTGAGGAACTGTCAAACCATTTTCCAGACTGGCAGCACCCTTTTCTATTCCTTCTGGCAATGCATGAGGGTTCCAGCTTCTCCACATCCTTGCCAACACTGGTTATTTTCATTTTTTTGATGATAGCTTTCTTAGTGGGTGTGACGTGATATCTCATTGAGGTTTAGGTGTGCTTTTGATATTGGAATGTCCATTGCTCTCCATCTTCTCAGGAGGCAGAGCTAGGAAAATTATGCATGTATTCTAACCCATGTATGTACACATACACTTCTATATTCATTTCTGTATCTACTTATCTGTACACATATATTAAAAACCGTGAGTTCATAATGATACCTCCACTTCCAGTCCAACCCTACAGAGCTCCTTCCAGCCTTTCGCCTTTCTGTATTTCTAACTTCTTTCTCCAACAGTGAAAACCCTGGCTTTCATTATCCACAATATATTTGCTAATTGTTCAATCCTAGAATACACAGGAAGTAGTTTCAGAATTTCTAATTCGTGCCTCTCGGAGAAACCATCATCCTATTGTTGAATGACGTACATCCTCTCAAAGATTCTTCAAGAAAGACAAATGGCTACGGAGTTTCGCTATGGAACAATTTCCGTTATGGAGC